GTAGAACAGGGGCACTAAACACAGTATTTGGCCAATTAACTGGAATAATCCATGGAACAACCCCCACTGAGGTGTTGGGTTGTACAGAAATATCCCACCTCCACAGCGACTTAAAACAAAACAGAAACCCTTTTATTAGGTAAAGGCTTACACCGCGCAATCATACATTTTACATGCAACAATCCGTGCACGTTCTGTTTCGACTCTTCCATGCAATCCCCTCAATGGGCCAGCTGCTTCCTCCCTGCCCTTCCCGTTCCCATGCCACCTTCCTCCCTCGCCCGCTGAACTTTGTCCTGGGGTCAGTGCTGCTCTTGGGTCCTACATAGTTGATGATTCAAACACAGGGGCACGTTTAGCTCCAGACCTGGGGGATGACTAAAGGCCATAGCTCGGGGGTCTCCCCAGTCTCTCGCCAACCAGTATGCTTGGTCTCTCTTGTGATTTTTGAGTTCTGTTCTGAGTCTTCTCTGCCAGCCCTTTAAGGTGATGCTATTTAGAGCAGTTTGTAGTGGGCACTGGCCACCACCTAGTTTTTCTGGTCTCTGGGTCAAAGAAGACGGATGTTCCTGTGTCCCATTAGTCCATCACACTGGTTCCACTTGTCTTTTGGTTTTCGCCGGAGGGCAAGGGTTGTAGCTGTGCTGGCTGCTCACAGACTTTAAAGACCCCGGTTGGTACCTATCGATGCAGGATGAGGAACACTGTCTGAGTGAACTGTGTCCTACTTGACCTTCATGTCCCCTAAGACTATGCCCCAGATCGCCCGGGCCCAGCAACTCAGTCCTTCAAGGTGGTTGGTGATGGCTAAGATGTTTCCTTTGTGTTTCTCTATTTATCTTTATTTTAAGTCATTTTCTTAACTTTGCCCACTGTGTGCTTTACCACAGTCATGGATACATTTGCAGCAAAGGTAAATACACACAGACAAATATCTTCTGCCAAATCTATATTGACTTATGGAGATACTCATTTTCCCTTCCCTTCATTGTTGTAAATATACAAGAGGGTACCCCCAAAAATTGATTTTATTTTTTTAGGGGGGGGTGAAAGCTATGCTTGTGTTTTTTTTTAACTAAACAACCTTATCACCGTCAAAGTATTCTCCTTTAAACTTAATACATTTGTCAAATCTGTGATTCCATTCTTGGACACGTTTTTTCAAGAGCGTCTGTTTGGATGGCTGACAGCAGCTCCTTCATTTTTTTGTTCGTGTTATCAAATCTCTGTCCTTTCATGTCCCTCTGCATTCTCGGGAACAAGAAGAAGTCGCACAGAGCGAGGTCCGGTGGGTGAGTCAGGTACTTGGGGCAAGAGAGGCATGCTGGGGTTTTTTGTGTTGGTTTTTTTTGTGTGCCAAAAACTGGTGCACT